AATTTTGTATAAGCAGCCTGAAAAGTGTTTCGAAGTAGTTCACTATCAACACCAACAACATTTTGCCATTCGTAATTAATATTGCTTCTAAGAATGGTGAAAACAAAAAAAAACACACCTTGTCAAGTAATCCTTAATATTCTAGTGTCGAATTTTACTTGATACATATGTTTTGGTGGTTCTTAAACTCCATTATCGTCAGGCTTACATAAAGATCCACTTCTGGAGGTGTCGTAAGAATACGTTACAAACATTTAATACAAAACACGAAACGATTACAGATATGCCTATCAATTCACGCGTGTACATTGCCGTCGGCAGGACTGGAAGTAAACTGAATCAGATTCAGGTTATGACGGAGACGGACTGACGTGGTCCCTAGATTGTCGTCTGCGTTTTCAACAGCTGATATTGCACTATTGTAATGACTGAGAAGAGTGTTGAAAATATAATGGAATTCATAGTTAATCAAGTGTTTTCACTCAAACATTGTGTGCTGTCCCTAGTTTTATGTATTTATAAATTTCAAACTCTTCAAAAGTATTTAATAAATTTCCTTTCGCGCAGTACTGTAGAATTTCGAGACCATCATTTATATCCAGCATATAAATTGAATAATTTATCAATAATTTTGAATGGAAAACTCAATTATGAATTCCATTATATTTTCAACACTCATCTCCTTCGTTACTACAATTAGTCCAATATCAGCTTTTGATAACGCAGACGACAATCCAGAGACCACGTCTTTCCGTCATAACCTGATTCAGTTTCTTCCAGTCCTGCCCGCGGCAATATACACGCGTGAATTGATAGGCCTATCTGGGCCCTGTTTCATAAAACTACTAGTCTAGTATTTACTAGTCCATGGACTAGTAATACTAGTGTATTTTACAAGTCTACGTTTCAAAAACCTACTAGTGTAAAATACTAGTTACTAGTGTAGGGACTAGTATTAGGGAATAGGTACTAGTGGTTTTTACTAGTGTAGACAGCAATGTGTTTCATAAAGTTTTACTCTTGTAAATTACACTGGTAAATACTTGCCATTTTCTAACAACCTCTCTACACCCGTATTATTTGAAGAAGACTAGTATTTTTGGAAAGAGAGTTATTTCATTACTCACATCATTTAAAAAAATGAATTATTAAGTTCTTTTTGCAAGTGCGAATTGGCTCACGTTTGTAATTTAAGATAAAAATAGATCTATGAGTGCTAAAATGATAATTATTATTAGATATAAATTACAATCCATAAATGTGGCGTAGTACAAAAAGAGTGAAATTGAATTTTATAATGTATGTACAATCGCCCTATTAGAATTAATTATAATTATAAGTTATCAATTTCTGTGAAATTTTAGTCTAATTTTACTTGAGTTAAATTTCATGGTTATATCAACTATTTAGCTATCACAGAGAAAAGATTTTTAAGCTTTGAGTTTGAGAGAAACCAAATTAAAACCGCATACCGTATTGCATAAAAAGATGTACAAAAATGTATCCAACATTGCAACATTAATCAGATTATTTTACACCCAAGGCTCTCGGTTTTATTTAAAGACATTTTAATAGGAAATAATAGTAAGACAATTTTAAAGAGGAGTTGCATTGTATTTTTTTAGGTGCTTATTATTTGTTTCCCTAAATAGCTCAAACCCTGTGATGTACTAACAATTTTGTAGGCCAATATTTGATTTGTGGGCGTTGGACTGAACTGCTTATCATAAAAACATTATTTTTAATCCATTTTGGTATTCTGAATTTGTTATTCAAAGTAATAAAAAATTAGATGTTGATTAGAGCTGTTATTTAAATGCAAAACATGTAAAAGTTTCATTAATGGAACTAAAGTATAGTGAGTGGTGCGGATTTGAACCAGGGACCCACCACATGAGAAGCAAAACTCTACCTCTGAGCTACGCCCTGCAATAGCGCATATGCCATGTTTTACTATACTTGAAAACCTACTTCTCCATTGCTTGTAACGACGTTGCAATTATTTGTTACATCAATAAACAATTAGGCTTATTATTCATGGTTTGTAGACTCAAAATTAGAATATCACAGAATGGTTTCTAACCCAAATATTCTTATGCATTCGAATATTTGAAAACATAGGTTAGGGTACTTGAAAACGTTCCTAACAAAATGTCCTTAGACGATTTAATTACATTCAAAATTTGAGCCATCTTTTCTTTACTCATAGCAAGCTTAATTTTATATGTCAGAATAAAACAAAAACTATACAAATCACAGCGAATGCGGCAGCAACAGATCAACTTCCACCCAACTGTTGAGCGCCGCAACTAGGCCTACAACCGGCTACTACAATCACCGTGTTAATTGCAGCGACGCGACGCCGCGCCGCGCCGGCGCGTCAACGGGCTCATTGATGAACATAAATAATAGCGGTTTGATAAATAATGTGTGATTGTTTTACTTATGTGTCTATATAGTTATTAATTAAAAGAAAACACTGCGTTTCTACAACTATTTACTTTTTGTATCAAATGAAAACAAAATTAAAACCCTTTATTAAGGGTTTGAAAACCCGTGATTGAGGTTAGAAATTTGTTTTGAAAGTTTACCTTGTAAAGTTGGTCACGTGACTAGTAGTTTTGGTCACGTGACTAGTAAAATACACTAGTATTTACTAGCGGTATAACAACGTTTATGAAACACAAATTAGTAGGACAGGTAAATACGGGACTAGTATTTACTAGACTAGTAATTACTAGACTAGTATCTTTATGAAACAGGGCCCTCTTATCGTTTCTTGTTTCGTGTTTACTGTTTGTAACATATTCTGACGACACCTCCAGAAGTGGATCCTTTTGTAAGCCTCCGATGGTGGAGTTAAAGAACCGCCAGAACATATGTAGCAAGTAAAATTCGACTCTACCTTACAGATATTATTAATGATTGTCTGACAAGTTGCGTTTCTACCATTATTAGTCGTAAGAGGCAATCCTGGGGCTATCAAAATGAATTTATTATAAGATTACTTCATCACAAAAACCTTTTATGCTGGTGGCAATTAAGGAATTCTGGGTATTTTGTCCGGCGATTTTTGTAGAAGGAAGCCTAAGAGTGGCGAGCAACAAAAGTCTGTCCTATTTCGTGACTCTGCCTATAATTTTGAAATAAGATAGCCTACTTTTTGCCAAAGTATTATTAATGCACTTACAGCTGTTTGATTTCTTAAGCCCCGTAAAATTAACGCCACCTAATTTATTGTACAGTTACAGTACTGTGTTGGAGTAGAGTAATTCGCCGAGTATATTGTTGTACGTTTTGAAGACATTTTCTATTGCAATACTGAGTAACTGTTGGCTGATAATACAGATTCTGAATTTAAAATTGAAAAACTTCTAATTCGTCCATTAGTTAGATATAATGACATATTGATGACGTTTACTATTAAACATTTAATTTTGATTATCAGAAAGTTTGTTTTTCTTTACCTCAACTTTTACTAAATACTTTATATGCTCGTTTTATGAGGTAAAGGGGAAATTTACAGATAAATTGGCGGGGGGGAGGGTAGGTTTAAATATACGGCAGTATAAATGGGGGGGCTACTCCTTTGGCTTGGGGGGGGGGATTGCGCCTCTGGGTTTGGGGGGGATGGGCACCTCTGACTGCCTATTTCGGACTCTTTAATTCTCATATTGCTTATGGTCTCATACTTTGGGGACACTGCAAATGTCTCAGATGCCATAATTCTTAAAAAAAAATCATTAGAACCATTTGTCAAGCCAGGCCTGGAGATCATAGTAGATGTCTTTTCAAACAATTGAAGATTCCTACAATTAATTATTAACTTATATATTTATCATGTATTAATATTCACAAAAACAAATCTAAATTCTTTTTTTATTAGACGTGAGGTACACAATAATACCAGGAATAAAAACAAACTAGAAATCCCTCAACATAGGTTAACATAGTTTGGAAATTCTTATATGGTAAATTGTGTTAAATTTTTTAATAAGCTTCCCGATAATGCTCAAACCACTCCTCTTAAAGGCTTCAAAATTAAGTTGTATCAATGGCTTTTAGACAATCCATTCTTTACTATTAATGAGTTTATGGCCACCAACATAGATAATATAAGTTTTCAAATTAATGATAAGCATTAACTTTTGTTTGTTTGGATTAAGTTTACCAATTTGATTAATTTAATGTTTATGAAGCTGCTGTTTGGGTACTAGCTTAGACTATAAATACAACGGCTAGAGTTACAACTTTAGTTTTAATTTAAATAAATTTAGATATAGGTAGTTGATGTTATTGACTGTATATATTTATGTTGACCATGCCCATCTCATGTAAAAATGATCATCGGCAATAAATATCTTATGTCTTACTATGTTCCTTACTCTTGACCATCCATAAATAAGGGAAACTTCTGTACATGTGTAGAGTTCGATGAATTTAACAATAAAATCACGGGGACATTGGCGGAGATCTGCAATCGTAACTAAAAAATAGACTTATACCTCTGACATCACGTGAAGACAACACTGCGTACTGGGTTTTTAGCGTGAAGACGGAGTCGAAACGGATGACAGTGTGCAATGACTTGTCTGAAAACGTTGTCAAAACTATGCTCTCCGCAATAGTTTTATCGCTCCGTCTTCAGTCTCCGCGCGGTTCTAAAAAATGCACAGTTTTGCAGTACACACGCAACAATTTACTTGTGCAGAAACGTACGGTAAATCCTTGCGTGTAGACCGGCCTTTATACTAAGGTATTAATATTTTACTAAAACACACACTTTATTAGATTCCTTGTAGCAGTAACCCTAGGTACCCATTATAGTGTTATTTAAATAGAATGGATTTAATTAAAAATCAATCGAGAAAAATGGAAATTCGCTTAGTCAGCAGGTTTGCTGCGGCGGAGGTATTTATTTTGGATTATACCCACTTGCTAAAGGGGTATGCATTTCAGCATGTCAGTTTTATCTTGGGCAATTTACAAAACTACACAGCTACAACAACTTTGTATTTATTTGAACCCCTAGAGAAAAAATAATGTTATTGACATATTTATCAATTCATAAATAAGGGACATAATTTAACTGTTGGCCCGTGTGTAAAAGAAGGTATATTTACAGATTATTTCAACCATGGCTTTAAACTGTGTTTAACTCTCAGTCTGTGCAAAGCAATAAACTTTCTTGAACTTTGTCCCTTTTACTGACAGATTTATTATTTAACACATAAAATCTCAGAAGCTTTTTGGCCCACTCTTCTCCAGCAGAATCTATACCTATTCTAGAGCTTTTAACAATCCGCTCTTCAGGTATATCTTCACCAGATTCAACCCACATTTCACTCCAAGTAGTCAAATCCTGCATATTACACTTTTCTTTTGTAATGCCCATTGAAATGCATAACTTGGCTGGACCGTTGCATAACTGATGAGATGGAATTTCTTTTAATTCTTTTTTAGGTTTATTTTTATTAGGTTGAAATCCATTTCGGTTGGTTGCCATGAGTTCTAAACCTTCAATAGGATCTAGTGCTCTTAGCAGAACAGCTGCGCCATCACCTGAAATTATTTACGAAACTTACATTCATGTTATGACTTATCGTTTTTACAGGGGCTTGGTGGGCTATGGCAGGAGAACTAAATACAACTTACTTTACTTGACGCATAAAAATAATAGGCCTATATTTCCGATTTCAGTATTTGGATCATTTAGGAAATATCTGTATTGTTTTCGGTCTCCAAAAGGAGTGGCGAATTGACAAACAATTTTGATTTCAAAATGTGTTGCTGGAATAGCAGGCAACAAAATTTGTCGATTAGCATAATGTTATTTTCCGTTTCATCTTACGTACAGTTATAGTCGTTGAAATGACATAACTCTTACACCAATGGAAAGATGAGATTCTGAAATTTCATTTCATTATAAGAACAAACCTTATAACATATACTATATTGATGTAAAATTGAGTTACATGTGAATGAAAAAACGCGCTAACTCGCAAATGCCGTGTTTTGTTGCGCAATCATAAAAGATGAGTCATTTCAAAAAATCAGAGCAGACGTAATTTTTGTTCCTAACAAAAACAAGTGGTACCACTCAAGGGCCCACTAGAAAAACGTTTTTTCTAGTGGGGCCTTGTACCACTGCAACAAGCATGAAGTAAACATTCATTTTGTAAAAAGTATAATGTCATAATACCCACATTCCAACAGCTGATGAACAGTTTAATTGTAAATAACCAATATTTACGAATTGCTCATGTGGCGAATCGACAAAAGTTGTCGATTTATAAATCGCATATATATATATATATATAACAACTTCTACATATGAATTACAAAAGGGTAAAACTACCCCTAACAATTAAGAATACTCCTAACATTCAAACATATATGTATTCACTACCCCTGAGGATTAAACTATCACTCTAGGGGTGGTTTTGGGCCCGATCTGTGCGGATCCTTCTGACATGCAATGCCCCACCGGCATCACTTCACCAAAACCAGTACATTTCCATTCTTATGAGCATTGAGCCTATTCCCAAAGCCTGCACGAGTGTGTACCAATTAAATATTTTCACTGATATTTTTCAATAGAATAATTTAATTTTTACCATCTATCTATAGGCTATATTAATTAAACGTGGTGCCATGAAAATCGCAAAGGTCTACCCTCTTCATAAAAAAGGGAAACTGATGAAGTGGGCAACTATAGACCAATTTCCTTGGTCCCCACGTTTTCAAAGGTGCTGGAGAGTTATTCTGGCCCGTCTCCAGAAGTATCTACACCAGAAAAGCCTTCTGTCAAAGGGACAACATGATTTCATTCCTGGCAGATATCATAACCGCTGTGACAGATATAATCGAATACATCCTGGACAACTTGGAATATGGAAATACAGTAGAACCTCTTTAAGCCGAACCCCTGTAATCCGAACGTCCACAAATCCGAACGCCTAATTGAACTGTACTCTATACACAGTACAGTAGTTATTTATTTTTAACGTGTACACACTGTAATTCTTTCTATTGTAATTAACAGTACTGTTTATTTACTATGTTTACTACTGTATTCCCAAATAAACACTATTATATTTTATAAAGCATTTTTTCACTCTACCTGTAACAATTAAGAGCCATTTTAGCCACATATTAGCTATTCTTATATGTAAAAACAACAATATGTCCTGTAATCCGAACTATTCAATAATCCGAACTACCCCCGGTCCCAATTCGTTCGGATTAAAGAGGTGCTACTGTCTATGCAGCCTTCCTGGATCTCAGCAAGGCATTCGATTTCCTGGACCATCAACGCATCATAGAGAAACTTCGAACTTTTGGTATAGATGGTTCCGCAATCGCCTGGTTTGGTTCCTACCTCTCTAATAGACAACTAGTTGAAATTAGGCCTACTGCAAATGGAACAACTAAGTTAGCGTGGTAAAATCTAAGCTGTTAGATGTATCGAGAGGAGTGCCACAAGGTTCTGTTTTGGGCCTCGTCGTGTTCGCACTGTTTTCAGCAGATTTCCCTGATTACATGGATCAGCATAGCCACACCGTCATGAGGTTGCGGATGACTCGGTACTTTTAACCAGCAACACTGAACTGGAGCCCCTTGAGCTAAACAACCTTCTTGCCACCAAATGAGCCATGGAATACTGTGCAAACAATGACCTGGTTTTCAACAAAAACAAAACGCAGCAAGTATTCCTTGGGAAACTTAAGGACGACGTCACTTGCCCCCCTGACATACAAGCTACTGAGTCAATAAAACATCTTTGAATAATCCTGGACCAGGAACTGTGTTGTGGTGCCCACATCGATCATCTCTGCCAACGACTCAGCTCCTCCATTTTTGCTCTAAGAAGGATCAACAGTATTTCAACAGCCAATGCAACACGGGCAGCATAACACGCACTCGTTGAATCCCATCTTAGATATGGTGTAATTCTATGGGGAAACTGCTTAAAGGAAAGCACTCAGCGAGTTTTCGTTCTCTACAAAAACTTGCTGTGGGAATTCTCGGGGGCCTCCAGAAGCAAGAGAGTTGCAGGGACGTCTTCATGTCTCTCCAAATCCTTCCGCTGGCCGCCATTTACATCTGCGAGGTTGTTGCCTTTTCTACTTCCCTTAACCTCCCAAGAAATTCAAATATTCATAAACACAATACCCGAAACCGATTCTCTAAGAAGCCATCCTATGCTGGGTCCAGACTTTTAACCTTCTCCCAATGGACATCAAAGCCGGCAACCGAGGGACAATGAAGAGAAGACTTCAGAAATGGATGCTCAAAGAGCCTGTTTACAGCACTGAGGAGTTTGAAGCCCGATGTAGAAGATCGTAGAAGAATGCCACTTTTATTTAAAGAAGCCAAAGATATATAAAAAAGTACCGTATTTTATCTCTACTTTTGTGACTTATTTCTGAGCTCAATGCTTATGTAATAATGTTCTCTCTCTCTCTCCCTCTAAATAACAGACGAAAATATACATACTTATGCTAAAAAATTACATTCAAGTTTAATTACTCCATAAAAGTACTTAAGTTATGTTCAAATATAGGCTAAATCAAATCTTTAATTTATAGCCTATCGTTAATGTTTATTTGAAATACCTTTCCAAAATCTTTTAGATGCTTCTTTTGACATCCATAGCTTTCTCTATTAAGGTCGATTCACACACTGGCCTATCAGTCCAATCATAGTTCCGTTACAGTCCAGTTTTACACAGTAGGCTAAAGTCACAGTTGTAGGCCTATCCATAATTTCTCAGTCAAACTGTCAGTCATTTGGTATCAGTTATTCTTCCGTCACTTTATTTACAGCATTGTTACAGTAAAAAATGTTTAATTAAAACACAATAGGCTATTCTATAAAATGTTCACTGTCCGTCTTGTTGATTGTTTTAAACATTAAGTTAGCCTACTTAAAGTATTGTATAGTCGCCATTTCATCGAAAAGTAAAATATTAAAGCATTTTACCAGGTTTTTTTTAATGTAATATTACGTTCTCTATAGGCTATCTAAATTAAATGTATTTTGCTCAAGTTTAAATAATTATATAATAGGGGCATAAACAGCCTATTTTAAAACTTACCATGACTTGAAATATTTATGAGATTATACATTCCATAAGTTAAATAAACAAAGGTAGTTCCAGGTTTCATGTACATTGGCTTGCTTTTTTCAGTTATCTTACCACCATATGATATTGAGGCCTTATCCAGTCCTCCTAAATAGCTCTCCGTTTCTACAATTATACCTTTCAATAAAACACCGTTTAACATTTTACGAACCAATATTTTCCCAAGAAGTGCCTTTGCTAACTCTACACAAGGTGTATTAAAGAAAGAAAAAGGTAGGCCTAGTCTTGGATCTTCTCTGTTAGACTCTACCGAAGACTTGCTGATTTTTCCCTTGTTTTTAGAACTGCTAATAATATCACTTGTTATTGTGCTGCTTTGAGCAGCAGAAGTTAGCAAATGACTCTCAGTCTTGAAATAAGGTGATGGTAAAACATTTCTCCTCCTGCCTTTATTTATATTAGCACTCATTTCTAAATAGTCTTCCAAAATGGGTTAACTTGTGTTTAGGCCTCCAAACAAATTTAGAGTCTTGTAAGTTAAATAACAATTAAAAAGGTAGGCCTAAAACTTACATTGTAACTTAAATAACACCAAATCCACAAAGAAACCAATTTATAATTTAATATTTTCTACTCCATAAAGAAAACACAAGAAACGCTCAAAACATAGCCTAGGCCTATATTGAACCATCTTTTTGGTAAAAAAAAAAACCTAGGCTAGCTAGGCTGCATCTTATTGCTTGTTTAATTGAAACAAACAAAAATGAACGTAGGCCTATGTAAGTTTAATTATTCTAAATTGGGGTTAACATTTAAAAACTTTGACTTGACCACAAACAAAAACTGTCACTGTCAACAACCACTCAACTGAATTGTGACTCAGACTCACTCAAATTCAAATAACATGCCATGATGCCGACCGTGCCAGGATTCAGGAATGGGCACACGCAAGGCCACGGCCTTGGCACACGGGAGGGACTAAAGCGGCCCACACACTAGCGCACATGTGCCTTGCGTGGCTCGTGGTGATGTGACTACTACGAGCGGCTCGAGGAACATGTGCGATTCAATTGGTACAGTGTTGCCACCGCGTTGTTGCGATTTTACCCTAAAGGCGGGCTAAAATTACCCTAAATTACCCTAAATCTACTTTGAGTTACCCTAAAAATTACCCTAAATGTTAATATTTGCGTTTAATGCTATAAAACATTGTTAAAATCATATAAATCTTATATAAGGTGGTTAATTATACAAAATGAAGTTCCAATACCAATCAATTTACGTAAAATTATACTCGATTCTAAAACACCACCCGAAAGAAGAACAAAATGTTGATATTGATCAGCTCTATCGACTATCGTATAGCGAAAAATATCGAATCAAGAACTATCGTATTTTTTTTACTGTATCGACCCATTACTACTGTTTTTGAACAATCATATCTTTAAAATACAGTACGGTACCACCAAAGCTTTAATCTATACATAGTACACATTTCTTGACACAATTTGTAAAATAATCCAGTTTAATTCAGTTCAATCACATAATTAAATATCAAACCCAGTAACGAATAATATTTCATATTTTATTAGGCCTATAACGTGTTATAGAATCGAATACATTCTAAAACAGATAATTCCCAACTATTGATAAGATCGATTAGGATAACTTATTATGAAAAATTCATCATAGCAATCGATTTAAACCGGTTGAATCGAATATGATGGCTTGGCCATAGTATTTAATGAACGTTTTTTGCCAAATTTTGAAGTTTTTTTCATTTTTTTAGTAAAATTTCCATTGTTATGCTAACTTTTAGTTTTACCCTAAAATTACCCTAAATCTACCATTACCCTAAACTTTACCCTAAGACCAGTAAATTACCCTAAAAAAGGGTAATTACCCTAAAAGTGGCAACACTGATTGGTAACCACACACTAAAGACACATGCGCGCGCACCACCGTCTTTGACGATGCAAATAGTGGGCTATAACAGCAAATTCAACAGTTATATTGAAATCATTCTAATAAACTCCTTTGTATCGTCACCATGTTAATTTTTACAATTTTTTATTTTGCATTTTTTTAACATGGAAATTTTTTTAGAGTTGCAAGCAAAGTCACTAAAGAATAAAATTTGCCTTAAAAAACAGATGTGATTATACACAACCAATTAATTGGGTAGTTATTAGTTGTATGTATTATGGTTTTGGGTTTTTGGGAAATAAGTTATTAAAGAATATGAGGGTTGTATGATTTAATATAAGGGTATAAGGGTCGTATTTAGAGTATAAGGGTTATAGACTTAGATTTAATTAGTATGTTTGGTTCACATCGATATTAAGCTCTCAAAGAGTTAATTTCAGTCTTCACAAACTTATCGTCACTGCCATAGGAAACACCCCCTTGCATTTTCGTTATCAATAGCTCCATAATTTCTTTTCTCATTTATTTGTTTGAAAAGTTTACACTTTCCACGTCCCAAGAACACGTTTGTGATCTATAAAGCTCAATAAAGTTAGACCAAATCTTTCTTATGCCATTAAAGGACATCTTAACCGCACAACAAAGAAGTAAATAATGACCAAACAACAAGGACAAATAAAATGCAACACGAGGGACAGTCAATGTAACACGGTGCCACGCAGGCGCAGACCTTGTAGTTCCCGAACAGTATATGCAGCTATGGTTTGTACCGCTAGTTCACGAACATGTGCCTCGGTTTCCCACAGACTGGCGCGCATCATAACAAGCTCGCGCACTTGTGACGATGCTCGAAGGTCCGGCGGCAGGCACCAGGCACCTCGCATGCGCGTCGCGAGCATGGGCACATTTACCCACACATTGAGGCGCATGTGCGTCGAGCTGTTCGCGCGTCACATGTGCGCGCACAAGCGCCCTAGTGTGTGGGCCGCTTAAGGCTAAAGGTGTAGTGAGTGACGTCATATCTCTATTGGCTAATGTCTTCTCTTGAGGCGACACGATTACCGTAACAAAACTATGTGATTTCAGCGGCGTTCGTGGCATAGTTGGTAGCGCTTCGGATTGGTGGTCAGGGGGTCCCGTGTTCGAATCCCGCTGGCAGCAATAACTTTTTGTCAACAAATTTTTCATATCAGCAAGTTTGGTTGGTTAGGTTAGGTTATGACAGTTAAATTTTATAATACAAAATTTTAAAATTAATTTTATAATTAATTAAAAACTAGTGTACCTGTTGCTCAAATTCGAGCAATTGCGTAGCATTACAGGTGACTCACGAAGATTATTGAAATACTCACGATCTACACAACAGTTAGATATAATCAAAATATTTTGTAAATCGCAGAGGATACGCGTCCGGTAACCGGACGTGGATTAGGCGTCCGGCAGTTACTGTCATAACCTAACCTAACCAACCAAACTTGCTGATAATTAAAAAATCAAATGAAGGTTCAATTCTCTTCATAACATAAAATTATAAATGCCAAAATTCTAACAAAAGATGTACAGTTAAGAAGAAATTACATTCAAAGCAAAATCTGTGACAAAAAGTTAAAGAAACCGATGGGTTTCGAACCAGGGACCTCCAGGATATCAGCCGAGCACTCTATCCACTACACCACGAACAACGCTGACCGAACACCGTATCGTTGTGGTAATGGCGTTCCGGGACCCCACAACCCGGTGACGTCACTACCGGACGCCTAATCCACGTCTGGTTACCGGACGCGTATCCTCTGTGTTTGTAAATATCTTGTCTTTTCTCAAAAAGCTGACCTTTATTTTTAATTATTCTACAAATGTTTCCCTCTCATAGCCGCATTAGGTTGTCTATAATAACGATTATAAATTTAAAAAAAACATTATTTCTTTTCTTCTACTTGGTTGTGTTCTATGACTTTTTCTATGTTTCCATTTTTTGCAAATCGGTTATTTCAATGATTGCTCAAGAAATGTAGCATAATGTTAATTTAGTTTTATTTTTAGCCTATATCAAATTGTCCAGGATGTCTCGCTTTTTTCCATTGTAATAATTTCACCAACCCAAATTTCGTCTACAGATGGAATACGCCAAAGAATATCACCTACGTACAATCTCCAAGAAGTGGTAAAAAAGGAAGAAACCAAGCCATACAATAGATATAAGTTAACTCCATAAGAAATAATTTTAAGAGTTACTGTGATATTAGGATTTTCCACTGATTTGGTAATAGAACATTATATTGCAAAACATGACACGATGCAGAATAGCAGAATAAAATTGATTTTAAAATCAGAAAAACCCATTGCAAATACTGTACTTCATTTTGAAAAATTCAATAAATCACAATTTAAATATTAACAGCTGTTTCATTAAAAAGTAGTGTTGAATTATGCATATGGTAAACAAATTTGAAGATGCAACTTTAAAGGCTTCTGGGGCAGAGCCCCAAGGGAATTTACCTCGTTCCTCTTTTGATGGCTCATCTATAGACCAAGACCTTTCTTTAGAGACCCCTACCAAGTTTCTAGGCCCAGCCGTTCTATCAAATTTGCTGGGACAAAAACCCAGTTTTTCCTCCATAAGAATAACATGGGATGGGAATTCAAAGGCCGCTGGGGCAGAGCCCCAAGGGAATTTACCACGTTTCTCTTTTGAAGGCTCATCTACAGACCAAGACCTTTCTTTAGACACCTCTACCGAGTTTCTACGCCCAGCCGTTCTCTCAATTTAGCTATGACAAAGAAAAACAGTTTCAAATTAATATATAGATTATAAGTAATCATTAATTAGATTTTTATCTTATATAGTTTTTATATTATCAGCAAGTCTGGTTGGTTAGGTTATGTTATGACAGTTTAATTTTAAAAATTAAAAATTTATTTTATAATTTTAAAACAATATTTTATAATTAAAAAGTTAATTTTATAACTAAATACCCCCGCCGCAGCAAATCTGCAGACTAAGCGAATTCCCATTAGCCTGATAGGATTTCACATTAAAATGCCTCCTTAAAATATCATTATTCCCTATTTAAATAGAATTAGTTTAACGAGTACTTAGGTTTGCTGCAACAGGGAGGGTAAAAAGGTGTTTTTTTATGTTAATAGTTTAGTAAGAAACGAATGTATTTTCCAAATTCGATCAAAATATGTTCATAAACAAGTAAACTACAACAGTTGACTTATTCTCCATAAGAATAACATAGGGATTTTAAATTTACAATTTTTTGGAATTTTCTCTGTAACCATTAGGCGCACTATAACGCTTCAAATACTAAATTATTTGTTTTTTTTTAAGCTCTTCAAAATGGTTTGGAAATAAATTGTAAAATTTTGTGTTTTTAGGGTCAAAAATGGGAAAAACCTATTTTTACCCCATAAACCCCCGTTCCCATAGTCCGATCATGCTGGTTCGCAAACTCGTTCGAATAAATGTAGGTTTACGCGTTTGTACCAAATTTCATCAAAATCGGATCATTTTTGCTCGAGTTATCGTGCTGACGGACACACATATAAAATAATATAAAATAAAATGTTTTTAGGGTACTCTGGTATTTTGATTTGCTTAGTAATATAGATAAATAAATATATAAATATATATATATATATGAATTTGAACGGATGGTGTTTTTGGCCTCTAGGGACCTCAAAACGAAAAAATAAATCGGTCCCGGGTCCAGGTCTTACCATGAGTGCTACGGTAATAGCTTATTCCCTATATGAGAAATTCGCTAAAATTAAAAAAAAGTAATTTAAATTGTTTCAACTTAGCAGTTCTAGCGGCGAACGCTGACACTACAAGATATGTTAGCCTTAGTCCCTCCCGTGTGCCCCACCGGGCCATGCCACTCAACCGGTATCTACTCAGGGGAGGTATAGAAGAGGCTACGATAACAGCTG